AGGGGGCTTTCTGATGTGAAGAGGGGCTCTGATGTGAAAGGGGTAACTCTGATGTGAAGGGGGGCTCTGAAGTAAAGAAAAGACTCTGATGTGAAGGAGGCTTCTGATGTTAAGGGGGAACTCTGATGTGAAGAGGGGGCTCTGATGTAAAGATAAAACAGTAGAGAGTTTTCCTGGCACACTCACAAGCCAGCATGTAAAAAAACTTGTCTCACCACTAAGGTTAATAACAGAGGTTTGGATACACGTCTTCTGAAGAAAATGTGAAAGCCGCACAGCCGCGCCAAGGCACCTCTTATAGTGCGGTCCTAACTCTAAACTATGAGAGTCTCCATCTTGGAGCACATGGGTCAGAAGATTTAGAATTGGGTGCAGGTTTGTCAGGAAGCCCGAACTCCCTAAAAGGCACAGGAACGCACAAGGGATCCCGTACATCCCAATGGCAGCTGAGAACCCGCCATGCATTACTGCACCAAATCAGTCAAACAAAACAAATGACAAACGCACTCAACAATGCGTCACCAGCTATACAGTAAGGTGCACATGAAATGGGCTTTAAACAATAAAACAGTAGAGAGATATTGTGGCCTTTTAGGGAGGTCGGGCTTCCTCCTGACAAACCTGCACCCAATTCTAAATCTTCTGACCCATGTGCTCCAAGATGGAGACTCTCATAGTTTAGAGTTAGGACCGCACTATAAGAGGTGCCTTGGCGCGGCTCTGCGGCTTTCACATTTTCTGCAGAAGACGTGTATCCAAACCTCTGTTGTTAACCTTAGTGGTGAGACAAGTATTTTTACATGCTGGCTTGTGAGTGTGCCACGATAACTCTCTACTGTTTTATTGTTTAAAGCCCATTTCGTGTGCACCTTACTGTATAGCTGGTGACGAATTGTTGAGTGCGTTTGTCATTTATTTTGCTTGTCTGATGTAAAGATGGCACTCTGATGTAAAAGAGGCTTCTGATGTGAAGAGGGCCCCTGATGTGAAGGGGGGCTTCTGGTGAGAAGAGGGGCTCTGATGTGACAAGGGTAACTCTGATATGAAGGGGTGCTCTGAAGTAAAGAAGAGACTATGATGTGAAGGAGGCTTCTGATGTGAAGAGGGCCCCTGATGTGAAGAGGGGGTTTCTAATGTGAAGAGGGCCTCTAATGTGAAGAAGGGGCTTCTGATGGGATGAGGGGCTCTGATGTGAAACGGGTAACTAATGTGAAGGGGGCTCTGAAGTAAAGAGGGCCCCTGATATGAAGGGTGGGCTTTCGAAGTGAAGGAAACTCTGATGTGAGAGGAGGGAGCTCTGATGGGAAGAGGAACTCCGATGTGACGGGGGGCTCTGATGTAAAGAAGGGACTGTGATGTGGAGGAGGCTTCTGATGTAGAGAGTCCCTAATGTGAAGGGGTGCTTCTGATGTGAAGGTGGGCTCTGATGTAAAGAAGGGACTCTGATGTGAAGGGGGGCTTTGATGTAAAGAAGAGACTCTGATGTAAAGGAGGCTTCTGGTGTGAAGAGAGCCCATAATGTAAAGAGGGGGCTTCTGATGGGAAGAGGGGCTCTGATGTGAAAGGGGGAACTCTGATGTGAAGGGGGGCTCTGAAGTAAAGAAGAGACTCTGATGCGAAGGAGGCTTCTGAAGTAAAGAGGGCCCCTGTTATAAAGGGTGGGCTTTTGAAGTGAAGAGGGCTTCTGATGTAAACGGGACTTGTGATATGAAAAGAGGAGTCTGATGTAAAACTGTAAAAAAAGGAAACTCTGGTGTGAAAGGAGGGGACTCTGATGTAAAGAAGGGACTGTGATGAGAAGGAAGCTCCTGATGTGGAGAGCCCCTAATGTGAAGGGGGCTTCTGATGTGAAGGTGGGCTCTTTGTAAAGAAGGAACTCTGATGTGAAGGGGGCTTTGATGTAAAGAAGGGTTTCTGATGTAAAGGAGGCTTCTGATGTGAAGAGAGCCCCTAATGTGAAGAGGGGGCTCTGATGTTAAGGAGGGTTCTGATGTGACGAGGGTCCCTGATTTGAAGGGGGGGGGGCTTCTGATGTAAAGAGGGACTTGTGATGTGAAGAGAGGACTCTTCGCTCTCGGCGGGACCGGAGCGTGAACAGAGGTGAACCGCCTCTCTCCCGGAGCACACCCCATGTTGCTTTGGAACCTGGTGCTAAATCATTCATAGACGACCTGATTCTGGATCAGGGTTTCTATTGAAAGACATCCCTTGAGCCAAGCTTTTAGAAAATTCAAAAAAAAAGAGTAAAAAGGAGAGTCTGGTGTGAAAGGAGGGGGCTCTGATGTGAAGGTGGGCTCCTAGTGTGAGAGGGGGAACTCTGATGTGAAAGGAAGGGGCTGCTGATGTGAAGCGACATACAAGTGTGTCCTGTTGCAGAGTCAGAGAATGCACTGTAAATCAGGCGGGTGCTTGGAGTGACCACCGATGGCACTGCGTAATATCACAAAGTCCAAAAATGTCACCTGCACACCATTTAAATGTGAAGAAAGTCCAGTTTAATGACACATGTTTGTCATTCAAATGCAAACGTTTTCGGGGCCTCACAGGGTCCCCTTCATCAAGCTTAGAATGACTATTCTGAGCCTGATGAAGGGGACCCTGTGAGGCCCCGAAAAACACTTGTATTTGAATGGCAAACGTGTACCATTAAACTGGACTTTCTTCACATTTAAATGGTGTGCTGGTGACATTTTTGGACTTCCTGATGTGAAGGGAACTCCTAATATTAAGGGGTTCTTCATGTAAAGGGGAACTTTGATGTGAAGAGGGAGATTCTGAAGTGAAAAGGGAGGGCTCTGATGTGAAGGGGGGGGTTTTATTGAAGGGGCAGAACATCACTTTTTTTTTGTTTTTTTGCAAGAGGTCCCTTCTGGGATGCCTTGAGATTTTGCATACTTTTAAGGGTGCCGTGCCTGAAAAAAGGTTGAGAAACACTGATCCAAACGGATGCATAATTAAGAAGTGGTCAGGGTCGGGTTTCATTCTGTTGCAGTGTTACTTTTAGAGCAGCTGAAGTAGTAATTTATGACTCACGCTGTGACCTTGTAATAAATCAGTCTCACAGTTTGTCTCAGTGCCCCTGTTTAGCACTGCTTTGCCATGTGACAGAATTGATAAATGTCCCCCCAATAAATAATAGCCTGACACTACTAGCTGACAGGCTTTCTCCATGCTTGACTATGATTGGTTCCTGGTAGTAGCCAAGTAATGCTGTGTTGTAGAATGATGCAAGAACATAAAGCAGTTGCACATTTTTTAAACAAAAATGTATTTTGAATGGCATACCTGTAGGCCACGTGTGGCCTCTCCCAAACCTATCAGAAAAACTCTTAGGCAGGCAACGCCCTGCCCCCGTTGGAAGTGCGCCCCAAAGACCGGAAGAATGAGGGCTCTGGTTCGTTCAAGCCACCACAGCCTTCGCCGCTGCCACTGCAACAGAGGGAGAAAGTGCACTGCGCATATTTTAAACTAGCAAGGGTGCTCATTCCTGCAGTGCTGGGGAAGCTCTTCCAACAGGGGGGAAAGGTGTGATTGCTTACCTAGGAGTTTTTCTGAAAAGCTTAGAAGAGCTACAGGTATATTATTCAAAAGATTCTTTTATATAAAAAACAGTTTTTTAATGTACTGGCGGCGCTGGAATGCATTAAACATTTTTGCTAAAAGTGAACTAACCCTTTAAAAAGGGAAAGAAAGGTATAGAGGAGGTCTTCCCAACCTAGCATATAGAACTACTGTATGTGTGTATGTTTATGCATAAAAATGTGCATTTATATGAATTCTTTCTGATTTGAAAAGAAATGCTATCAATCTATTCCCGAGAATTTTATTTTTTTAGACACATGCAAGGTAAATTCTGAGAAAATAATGTCACGAAGCAGGACCGTCTTGTCAAACCGCTATGCAGCAGAAAATAATATCCCTGTGACTGGCACCTGGTAATGTGTATTATTACCTGTTACTATGATTTATCATTTAATTTTGACTGAGCAGCTGCTAAGACTGATTGATGAATAGCGCTCCGTGCTTCTGTATAGTTGGGATACCTGTTTGTTAATACAAATTTCCACATAGTGGCCTTTAGTAAAAATTCCAGGCTCCTAGTAAACATTCTAATCTTTCTTCATTTATATGCAGATTCTCTATTGATGGGAGAGGAATTACCAGTAGGTCCCAGGCATTGGCTAGTGTAATATGGAGTGAAGGCTTTGTACAATGATGTGTAGTTAGTAAGAAGAAAGGCTTCAGGTACAGTAGGGTCCTTGCAACATACAGTATCTTTCATTTAATCTGCTTTTCCTTTATGTGCAGTTTTGTATAGCTCTTGTGCACATTTCCCAAGCTCCCTCTCCCTTTCCTTCCAATCCTACCTCTCTTCCATTCTTCCTTCCTTTTCCTCTCTCCTGTTCCCTGTGTCTGCTTTCCCTGCATTCTTCTCCTAGTCACACTCTTTTATCTCTCTGTCACAGTCTTTCTGTTTCTGCTTCTTCCAGTGGCAAACATTCTCCTTTCCATTTTTCTCTCTCCCCCTTTTCTCCATCATCAGCGAGTGTAGTGTAGTGCATTGCCTTCCTCCCTTATTCTCTACCTGAGTCTTACTGCATGCTGTCTCTCCTGTGACATTCTCTCTCTCTCTCTCTCTTACACACATCCCTCTGTCTCTCCTGTTACCTTCTCTCTCTCTCTCTCTGTCATCATTATGTCTTTCTAGTGACATTCCCTCTCTCTCTCTCTCTCTCTCTCTCTCTCTGATATCTCTTGTTATATTCCCCCTCTCTTTCAATCTCCTGTTACATTCCCTCTCTCTTTTTTCCCCCCTCTCTCTCTCTCTCTCCCTGATATCTCTTGTTATATTCCCCCTCTCTTTATCTCCTGTTTCTTTCCCCCTCTTTCTCTCTCTTTATCTCTCTCTCTCTCTCTCTCTCTCTCTCTCTCTCT